TTTTTACAAAATAAATATTTATAATATGTCATTATTTAATAAATTCTTCTTTTATATAGGGTGTCTTAAAATCATTGCACCGTCTGCTAATGGCAGATTTTTGGAGACGAGTTTTCCTTAGCGAAAATGTCGAAGAACGTTATTATTTTTTGGAAATTTCTAATTTTTGCCATTATATATCTTTGCAGCCTTAAATTAAAATTCTGTTAAAATAAACTCTATTTGATATTAACCGAAGAATGTAGTTTTGGTAACTTTTTAACTTCAAAAAGTTTAGTTTACGAAAAATTCTTCTTTTTTTGGATCGTTTATAACTCGAAAATTATTAATGCTTCGACATTTTTACTGAGGAAAAATCGTCTCCAATGATCTCAAGAATCTGCCATCAACAGATAGTGATTCTGGGACACCCTGTATATATATATATATATACATATATTTTATCTCTCTTAAATTAGCTCGCGTAATCCGAGAATAATAGCTATGTATACGCATTCCAATTAGAAGAGATTTTAGTAATCATGATCGAAATAAAAGTTATCAATTTTTGTATAACGTGAGATTAATACTTTACACATCTTCGAATTCCTATTATTTAATTGCAAATAAATACAACTGTTTTTCTGCATATTAGAACTTTTTGAGGAAGAAGTAAAACATTATCCATTATATCGAAATTTTAAAAATAAAGTGTTAGCTTTATAGAGATGGATAATTGATCTATGATATATCATAATCTAAACGATTGACCACAAAATTGAAAATTTGACACATATGACTTTTGAAGCATGTCGGAGAGTATCATTATTCGCGGCAATTTTTGTCAGCTATTTATTTCGCTCTGTTTCCTCTTCCACTATCTGTATCCATCTATTCTTAAAGCTTTATTTATTCATTGTGGATCATAGTAATTCCGCAGAAAATGTCCCCCTTTTTTTCTTTTTTCTCTCTCGTCCGCCACGTTTTCACAATGAGGCGATGTTAAATTTGGCTCGGTTGCTAAATCGGCCACTAAAACCGTCAATCGAAACGCGTGTTTGCCGGCATATCTCATTTCTAAAATATAAATGACTACTATATCTAGAATAAGCCAGGTGTGACTTACGTCTGCCGTTTCCGGTGCACGCCGTATGTATGAATGTAAAGTAGATTAGATATGTGGATCGTTCGCGACTCCCTTTGTAGGGTTCACAGGGGCAAACTAAAAGCAAGCATTAAAAAACTGTAGATATCTCTCTCTCTCTCTCTCTCCGTCTGTACTTTGTCAGAGGAGATAATGATTCCTCTACACATATATCTGCGGTGTGCGTCTTTTTTATAATTTTTTCGCAGACATATGGGACCTACAATGTAACGCCGATTCCGAACGGCCAAATTAGAGAGGGGTTCTCTTGACAAATTATTCTCGATGATTTGCCATTGTCTTCCGAGAGATGGCGATCAAATAGATCCGATGTTTTTGAATTTGAATCTGGGTCCTCGGCACAGAGAGCAGATGCACAACTCTCTGCGTCACGATCGCTTCAGATATAGGATAGATGCTATAGGAAATAGATATAGACATAGGCAGAATGAATTATAACAACAAATGTGATTTTTGCTCTCGTAATATCATAAATTATTCAGTTAAAAGCTAATGTATATAAAATTTTGGTGTTCTCGGATGATATTTTGCGTAAGATTCGTTTAAGATATTGCTTGTGCATCTTCACTCGCACGAAGAAACGTGATCGTGGGATATGGTCCAAGGACGCCTTGATCGTGACGATAATGTTATTTCAAAGAGATATCTTGTAGTTTTCATGCGAGCTAGATATTCACACATCCACATACGGCATCTTTCATTTAGAAGCGAGACGCAATTACATTTCATAGACATTGATCGTGCAATAATTATTCAACAAAGTTTGTCTTGCGTAACTATTGATATATCTTTCAAACGCAAATTAATTTGCATGTATTGTGTGCATATATAGAAAAAAGTAAAGAGAGACTACATGGTTCAATAAATTTAAGAAAAGCCTTTTCTCAAGAAGCGCGAAGATAATATATGTAATATTTTATTATCATTTTTAAAATAATCTTTGTGGAATATTATACTGTGCGCGTATCACTATTGTAATATATCTTTAAGTCATATTTAGAATATTTAGAATAAAAAGTATATATAATAAATTGGTTTTTAAAGATGAGAAATATTTGTTATATAGATACATTTTTATTCTTTAATTTTTTAACTATGTTATGAAATTTTCTTACCTCTCAAGATACAAAACATTGAATGCACTTGAACTGGTTACGCAATGCTTGATGTTATTTGCATCGCGTATCTCATACTGCGCAAAGCAAACTCATGCTAATGTTAGATTAATTAATCTACATTATGGTGCGCCATGAGTTTTAATAACTTTGCTTATCGATTCAAACTTAGAAGGAAAATTTTGAGTTTTTTCCCTTAAAGGTAAAAGTAAAGTGCTTTCAGATATATTTGTCTTTTTTGTATCAAAGTCTTCAATTATGATTTTTTGCAATCCAGATGAGCATCCTATGTATGTCTGAGAAATCAATATGACTTTTAATTAAATTAAATATATATAAATTTTTGAACTATCAAAATTGAATTTTCTGCATGTGAAAATTGCACCTATTATCTATTTCGCTTAATGATAAGTATATCCAAATATCGCAACATAGTAACATAGTTTAACATAGTTTAGCTGAGATCCTAACTGATCCTACATTCGTGCCTTGTACCGAAAATCTAAAAGTAGAATCTGTTTCTCATATATACATTTCGCAAGACCTTTGCAAAAGAGACAGAAAAAGAGAGGGAGAAAGAGAAAGAGAATAGTACATTTTAACACGCCAAACTGCCACTCGCGATCCAATCGTGAAAAGATATTCGCGATAAGCAATTTTCGCTTAAAACCGCGTCAGTTCGTACCAGCGGATTCGAGATGTATAGACAGGAAGTGCCGGGATTATTGATTTTAACCAGGGTCGCACGTCTGACTCGACGCAGCCCGCATTTTGCGTTGTATTAGGTTGCTTGCTCAGCAAATGCTCTATAATAAAAATAATAAATTTATATATTATATATCTAATTTAATATAATATACATGCGCATGATTAATATTAGTGATTTAATTTTGTCTATTAATTTCAAGATTGACATGATACTTTTATCTTTTATATCGGTCAAAAGGCACATAAGAGAAATGTGGTTTTATTTTTTTGTCAATCAAATTACGGAAAAAAAAGATATAAAAATAAATTTGACTATTAATTAATAATTTAAGAGACAGATAAATATAAAAGGAAAGAAAAATAAAATTTTTTATATAATTTATATGTGGACTTTTAAATGGTGTGAAAGTTAAGTCTCTCAGAGACACTAATGTGTACTTCGTTTTAATGAGATTTTATCGCTCTTGTAGCACTCTTATAACACTCTTGAGAAGATTTCTCTTAAAAATCACATGAGATGCGTGGAGGATATTATAAGAGCGTGCCGAAAATACCCCAATGCTGATCTCTAACACATGAAACACACATGCCCGTTAGTAATAACTATATTCTGAAAGTGACAAGGTTTCCGCTTATACATAAATATATTTGCTGGAGGTTTCTCAAGGGTCTTTTGACGTATAAAACTCGAAGATCGAATCTTTTCATTTCTCGTATTTCTCGTTTACCCATAAAACCTTGTATATACGTGTATTTACGTTACCTTTTGTTTTACACCTAGTTTTATTTAATATATTTCGATCGTAATGTATTTTTTTGTTATATTGATTCTGTCGAATGTCTTCATTCAACATACCAAATGTTCTAAATCTATCGAAATATAGTTGGATTTTTTATAATAGGGCATAAGGAATATTTGGGGTTATTAGCCTTTGTCATGTTCGCTTTAAAAACTATATTAATAATAACATATTTACAATATTTAACGATTATATATTACAAGTGATATTTGTATAAAGATCCGTAAGAGGATTGCAAAGATATTGTCAATTTTTGATCAATTTGAATTATATGCTTTTTAACATGAAAACAAAGAAAGCTCGATGACGCAGAAATCTCGAGGAGGGTTGAAAATGGCTTAAATATGCACCGAGGTCTCATGAAGTGGAGCTCGCCCACAAGGGCTCATTGCTCAACGTGCCTGGACTCATGGGGTGCGAAAAGGTCTAGACTTGTTAGTGTACTTCCGGAATGTAGGCGGCAGCACATGTTCAAGAATTGTTCTTTTTTCTTTAACGCTGTCCTTATTCCTACCATCGCTGCTTCTTTCTCTTCGAGGATTAGTTTTTACATTCCCTCTGCAGAGGATGAAAGGCATGTGACGCCGAGAGTCCTTTGAAAGGACGCGCACCTTATTCATCAACTTGCACTATGCCGGTGCAAATCGTAATCAGTTAATGAATTACGTCAACAATGACAAAAAAAGCAATTAGAAATAGCGTTATATTATTTTTATTTTTATTTTAGTGCTTATTATTTTTTCACAAAACTTGTTATGCCAATTAAATCAAAGTATGTGAATTTATATATTATGTATATTATGAAAATATATGTAATTTACATATAATAATATAATAATATAAAATACATATTTATATGTTTTATATACATGTATACGTGCGCGCGCATATTTTTTCTCTTAAACGCAGGTAACTGTTCACTTATCGGATCATGCACATCTCGTACATAGTCTCAATTTAGCATTAGCGGAAGTGCGTGAACTCGTCACTCACACAGCGTTGATTGATAATACCGTAATAAATAGCGATGCACGTACACACATTAATTGCGTACGCCGGATGTTGGAACTCACTCGCGTTGTGTATATGTTACATCAAGGACAATGGTCGGACGATTCATGGTCGATAGAAAAGAATCTCTTAATCCCCGTTAAATCAGAGTTAAAAGTTTGTATTTTTGAAATTGCATCTCTTACATTACAACTAACCTAAAAATATTATTTTATTTTACAGAGCGCGCAGAATAGATTGCTAATTAAAAATGGCAAAGTTGTCAACGACGATGGGATCATCGACAGCGACGTCTACATCGAGGATGGTATCATTAGGTATGTATGAAATGATTGTTAAATATATTTTTATCACATAGTATATGTAACAAAGTGTCTACTCTCTGGAAAAACATGGTAAACTTGGAATTATGAGGGATTTCTTTTGTACCTGAAAAATCGGGGAATTCTCATGGGATCTTTTTTGTACCTGCAAAATCAAGAAATTTTCATGGAACTCAAGCAAATTTTTAAAAAATTCTCTCTTTGATAATTTCGCTCTTATAAGCAGTCGGTAATCCGCCGATAAGCCAAGTTATGTGAATTATGTGTTTAAAATATATTATAAATATATATCTGTCTTTATTTATATATTCAATGTCTTAACAAAATATTGAATATGCAGTACGTATTATTTTTTATTGTAATTTTTAGTGATAAAAAAATAAAAAATGTTTATCCTAGCTATTCAGTTTTTTTCAGTAAATCTAGCACTTGAAACTTAAGAAGTTTTGTTTTTTCTTCCTATAATTAAAAAACATTAGAAAACGCATACAATAAAAAATCATATTTTAGAAAGTTGCATAAAAAAATCTTTAAGATATTTTCTTTACTCTTATCACTTGTTAAAGAAAAATTTATCAAACGTAGACTCGCACGTTTCTCTTTCTCGAAGATAACGAGATTTCTGTTGCGACTGATACATACTATAACAATCGTGCGGTATATTCAGCTCACGTGTCTGACCGCCACTTTACATACAAGTGAAACGCGATACATACGTCGTTACTTTATCACTGGAGCTGAATGAGGTGACAATCACAAAACATCTGATTTGTCAAACAGACGTGACTGTTGTAGTCATCACGCACGCTGTTAAATCATCATTGCGTCAGTTGTATATTGATGTAACTAAAAGTGTAGGTAGTTTAAGCATTTAAATAATTTAAACACCGATTTTTATTGGAAAAAGTCACTTGCTAATCAAATCGAGCACAAGAAGCAAAACACCTGCTCGAAACAATTTTTGTTTCTTAAATCCGCAGGCAAATGGGACGCAATCTTATTATACCCGGTGGCACGAGGATCATCGATGCAAGGGCAAAATACGTAATGCCCGGTGGCATAGATCCGCATACGCATTTTGAATTCGAGTTTATGGGTACCAAGTCGGTGGATGACTTTTACCAGGGCACGAAAGCTGCAGTCGCCGGCGGTACTACGATGATCATAGATTTTGTAGTACCGCGAAAAGAGGAGAGTCTTGTGGAGGCTTACGAGAGATATAGAGAGTCAGCGGATGAAAAAGTTTGCTGTGATTACGCGCTGCACGTCGCCGTCACTTCCTGGAATCCGAAAGTAAATTTTTATAATATATATATTTTTTTTTTTATAAAATGTTCGGTAATTATGCATAAAATAAGCAACCTCATGATGTTGATCTTGACATATGTTGTCAAGGTCATGACCCTGAGTAACATTTAAGAGGTTTTAGCCATTGCTCGCTGTTTATTAAAAAGTTATTAACAATAAAATTGTACGATAAGAACAAATATTAATTACGATAATCTGAACTTTTCTGATTTAAAAAAGAACTATGAACTTTATATTAGTTGTATATTTAAGTATTTATGTAACTGCGTGGGCGGGAGAAGGATTCCATCCCTTCCTCTGCACTCCCACTCCTCAAAAAAACTAACCTAATCCAAACCAATTTCTATTTTTTGAATAAAAATGAGGTTTGGGTTAGATTAGTTTTTTGAAGATGGGGATGCAGGGGGAGGAGCTTCGTCCCTCCCCTGCCCACACATTTACTTAAATATTTAAATTTACAACTAATATAAAATTTATGCTCAGAGAAGTTCAGATTATTGCATTTAATACTTGTTCTTAATGTACAATTTTATTGTTAATAACTTTTTAATGAAGAACGAGCGACGACTAAAATCTCTTGGATGTTATTCAGGATCATGACCTTGACAATATATGTCAAGATCAACATCATCCATGAAGTTGTCCACTTTATGCATAATTATCTTATTCTAGTGATTAATTTTTCTCGTAATAAAGAAAAAATATTATTTTAATAGAAAATTGTAGTTTAAGTTTAAGCTTTTCTTATCACATAATTTGTTTGCAAGTGCACATAATTTGCGATAATAATGTTTTGTTGTTACAGTAACATTTATTGTTATAGTAAATATTATAAATGAGCACAATACTATTGTAAGATTAGATAGCATCAATCTATTTGATTATTCTTTGGCTTTGATTGTTCGATTGAGATTGATAGGACACAAAATATCTATCGCTAATCTTATCAGCTTTCCTACTTATCAATTCATTATTTCCTACAATAAATTGGTATTACCGTAAATAATGTGCATAATTATTTCGATATGAGCCATTTTTAATAAATGCTAATAAATGCTTTTGTGTGTAAACACAATATCCTGCTTTTATGGCATTGGTGCATCAATTAAAGGCATTATGAGTACAATGTAACATTTGCGCTAGATTATCGTGTATAATACAGTTTGTATGTACTCTTTATTCTGTCTTTTTAATCACTAGGAATGAAATAATTGCAGTAACATCAAACTCTTCTAGAAAAAAAAAACTCTTTTGTGATTAAAATTAACTAAATAAATTCTTTTGTGATTCCTTTTTTTGCTAATTCCAAATTGACACACAATACTTTACGATTTTTATGTATCAGAATTATATGTTGATAATATTAACCAAATGGCATAATGAAAATTTACGTAATTCTCTATCTCTCTCTAGAACAATGTAATTTACGTGAACGTATACAGAATACACATACAATTAATCCAATTGCAGCCATCAAATAATATTGGGGGGG